TTATTTAAGGAATAAAAGACGAAATTCCGTGTTTGATACTCTGATCAAAACACGCGGGATGTAGGGAGAGCACGAGAGAAGCGTAGGAAACCACGACGCGTAGCGGAGTGGTTTCCAGCTTTTAAAATTAAAAGAATAAAAGAAATTTGCGAGCGTGTTTTGATACTGTAATCAAACATGGTTTTCGACCAATCACAGCGCGCGTAGTATCCTAAGTATTTTAGAAATCTGATTATATTTCAGTTGACCACAAAACATTGGTCGATAAGAAGCAAGCCGAGAAAAATGGTCAAGACCTGCGTGTGTTTTACCTGCCAAGTAAAGGTTCCTTGCCCGTCGAGATTGACAGATTTGTTAGCAACTTGTACACGAAKACAACCACCGTGCAGTTTCAAATCCAGAAACCCATTCCCACCGGTACTGTTGATCGAAATTCCTACGCTTTGATGTTTGGTGGAAAWTTTGGAGGAAATCCAAAATCAGATCTAAGAAARGTGTTTGCTTTTTATGATGATTTTGGAAATTCCCGTTTGTTAGGATGGAAAACGTTATGGGGGGAATGGATATCAAGGAAAGGCATGCTGTTTGGGAAAACTGGCCAAAAATCTTCAAATGTTGGTAARAGAAGGGGAGTTGGATTATACCTAATGAAAGGTGAACGTTGGGGTAACATTGAAGTCGATCTTGATGTGATGGTTGTTGGAGGTAACTTAAAAGTGAACCCTGGTGTCTATTTACRTGTTGAGAATCCAACTTATGGAAATATAACTGCTTGGCATTTTACATATGAAACAGGAACTAAAAAATGTGCCATGGTACCATACAAAAAAGGGAAAGGATCACCGAGTTATCCSCCCTATCAATGTAGACTTACGGTGAATTTCATGAAAAACAAATGGYTCCACCTCAAATATCGTTTGCAAGGGAACTTAATTGAGCAATGGGTTAACGGTAGTTTGATTCAGCGCGATAATGTTGATTCTCATGCAATGGATGATTCGCAGAGGATCCATTGGCTTAGGCTGYGGTAATAGTAACATGTGGGGTGGAGAATGTAGAATTAATTACGACAACRTCAAGGTACAACTGTTAATTGACACTGAACCAGAAGTCTCTCTTGGAAGGATTTGTAACGTAGCTCGAAGTGGGAAGAAAACCACCAGACCGATTCAGGGAAGAAAAGGGTTTAAAATTGGCACAAAAGTACGGCCTGCACTATCTTGCGAGCATATTTATCGATCAAACCGTGCAACAAACAACACATTGCCCAAAAAYGGAGTATACTGGATAAAAACGTCTGATGAAGGGAAACTCGTTAAGACTTTTTGTGACATGAACATGGGCGGATGGACTCTCGTTGGCAAAATCAGTGGAAAAGCAGGGAACATTTATAACTCGTGGCTGGTGCGAMATGTCAATGTTGATTCTCTCAGTTTCCCAAAACTACCAACCTTAAATGGAAAATATGGCTGCCTTGATGCTCGACGTCTTGCTGTGAAGCATTCCACTCATATCATGTTCTCTAGTGGAGAGAATGCCTTTGGTGTTGGAGCAAAATGGGTTCGTTGGCAATTACCATCTGGTCGAGATTACAGTACATGGTGGGACCATGCARTTGGCTATAAAAAAGTAAAGTCAGCCTCAACAAGTCCGGTTACAGTGACGGCCTGGAATGGCAGAAATCAGGTATAAGCATGGATTAACAGTTGTCGATCTGTATGTTTAGAGTGTAAGTTCCAAAGTTGACCTCCCAATCTACATCAGTAACGCTTTTAAAATGGTGACCGAAGCAATGTACTTGCGAYTACTACTGAATCAACTTCATTTTATAAAAAAATGTGTTTCCTTCTTTTTGAAAAAAAAGAAGAAAACAAAAAGAAAACAAAATAGAAAATATAGGCCGGATGATATTGGTGCAGATAATTGCCTAAGTTCGTCTTGTTACCTACGGCGGTAAATGCTAGATGTAATAATAGTTGACAATTAATATCAATGAATTCATATAACGTTCCTAATATCATTTATCCATTCCACAGACGTGCTATCAAAACAAGTATGGTATTATGCCGCTCCAACAACATGGCGGATCGTATCCCTACGCCTCCCACAATAAACAGGGTAACACTGCAACTAGAGACAACTGCATGGCAGTTGGGGTTTTGCTAGGACGTTCTTCTGCAAATGGATGGTCCCAGAATGCCAATGGATATGATTCTCCTCARAGTGATTCTGATTGGCCAAATAGTTCCTACAACCATCAAAAACCTTACCTTCTTGTTTGGCTCAAGTAATACAGAAGCAAATCATACGACAAGAARTGACCGTTAATTAGTTAGCAGTACATTTGCTTATCCTGATCTCGCAAGGAATTGAGTACACAATGGACTGCCATATCAAACATTTGATAATTTTTTTAATTYTAAAATAAGTTAATATTTGAGTAACAATTTTAAAGTAGACATTTTCTCGGAAATCATTGATCAGCGTAAAAAAAAACATTTAAAGCAATCATCATTAATTTTCAAACTSAAGCTAGGACCACGGAACTCACAAAGCCGTACGTGTTGTATCAATGTACTTCGATTTTTTTTTTAATTTAAAATTTGATTCTGCATGTGCAACGCATGGATTTTGATTTTTTCATAATTAATTCATTGTCCAGATACTAATATTCACCAAATTTCGAACTCGTGGATCAAAACGTACTTGCATAGGGCTTGTCTTTTCATAATGGGAACAAGGACTCGGAATATGSAGAAACAAAAGAGCGAATATATTTAATTACAAAACAACAACAACAAGAACAAAATACATCAATYAACTACTTGACCACTACAACACTAGAATTAAATATGRCGATAAGTGTGCATTTGATATGTGGAACAAGATTTGGTCCTTGAGCGAAACGGGGCTTATAAGGGAAAAGAGGTAGGTAGTGGTTCTGGTTCGTTCATATGATCATGCAGACCGAGGTTATTCTAATTCTACCTTGTTTGATTCTGAGTTCTGGCTACAGCTTCGTCCTTTTCTCAAATAATTTCTCGCCACGCGTATATATGTCAAAAGGCATCAAAATCCGCCATCAACAAGCACTAGCCGCGCGGGGATTGGTAATGAGCTAAAAGTAGTTTGTTTTTAAAAATTGCACGAGTATGGTTCCTAATGGGATCCGTGGATAAATGCTATTAGTTCATTTTCTCTTGACCGCACTCACACAAACACGATTTTGTGATAAATTTTGTTCCAGAAGATTTCAGATAAGATCAAGGAATTGAGTAGTTTTCTCAAGGTGATAAGGAGATTTATAGTTTTTGCAGTGATACCCGATCCCAGRACTATAAGTACGATCCTGATACCTGTCCATGCAAATTCCTGAACAACTTCTGTGATTCCTATCCTTCCGATCCCGATTCGATGATGACCAATTCGATAATCGACCAATTCGATAATCGACCAATTCGATAATGGCCGATTCGATAATGACCAATTCGATAATCTATAAACCCCAACATTTGAATGATCCCTGATGATATAGACCTCGTTAACACCCTAATACCAGAGCTCAGCACAGTGAAAAAACCTTACCAATTGAAAGGAATTATATTTAGAATTGCTCTCATAATAACGCAAATAAAGTGGGAACTTAATATTAATTGCAATGAGGAAGTTGCAGCCTTAAAATTCACTATGCAATAGGCATGTACACAAGTCTATTCGAGCCAGGTAGTACCGGTCGGAACAGCGTATGATATGGGTTTGAGAAAACAAAGGACAAAATAGATAATTCATCCAACAATAAAACAAAACCTAACCTAACAATAGAGCTGCTGTATACCTAGGCAGCAATATCAAAAAGCAGGGATTTGATTGGTACTACACTAACTAGTGGTCTATTCAGTATTTATTAAGGATTTTCTAAAACAAMTGTATAAATTACGACAACAAATTATGATTATGATTATTTTTATCGGCAAGAATTACTAGACTTGGGTGTACAAACTTGTCATAGTTTCACATGCTTGTYTCGTTGTATGTCCTTTTATAGGCCCATGTGACGTCAAAACAGTTTCATCTGGAGGACAAAACAAAAGATATTTGCCCTCTTGGGAACTAGAAGCCATTGTTTTGTCCTGCAGTTGAAGCTACATTCACRTGAATTGCAAGGGGTCCTATTGAGACACTCTTGACTTCATARAATGTCCAAAAATCAAATTCGCTGCACACTCGTRCGCATTTTTTTAAGTTTATKTAATACTTGAAGTTGGTGCAATTTAATCGATATCAGTAGTAAAATGGATTTGTTTCCTTGTATCACTCGATACGCCAGATGAGGACTACTGCAAATATTATTCCAACAAGCTATAACAAGAAGAAAGGTTATCATTAGATTAGAACATTTATTCTTTCAGCATATTCATGCTTTTCCAGTTTATCGACTAAAATGGATTTCGTTGTCTTGTCGACAGACGCTCATTCTTAAAGAAATTTTAAGTTTTTATTTGGCACGTTCCGAGAATTGTATACATCGAAGCGAGACGACCGTTGAGCGTGCAATGTTAGAAACCTTCTTTCACACCTACAGACAATTATTCACAGGTATCTATCATTGCACGCTCAACRGYTGTCTCGCTTCGATGTAAAGGCACGGCTACCTTTCAAGATGGTTCAGGTAACCGTGAAGAAGACTATTCCACAAAACGATTTTGAACACTGAAGACCATAATGCATTGTTGCCATTAAACTCCACGTTATCTGCGTTACGAAATGACAATTATAAGTCGAGTCGTTCCATTGGAGTTSTTAACTGTACAGAGTTGACTTAGTCACTTTGAATACACGGARAATCCTTTTGAGTCTTTTGATGACGATAGAACGAACGACAATGCATTTTGGTCTTTGAATACACTATCTTCAGCATTCGACGTTTGGGGATWGAATAGATGTATCATGTCCAGATAAACATGATRGAATATACCACGATATTTTGTGATKGAATAACACTGACTGACATGATTAAGTTATAAAAGTACATTTCAGTTCAAGCAAAATACCATTTTTAAAATTACAAAGAGTAAATATAAAAGTCAATAAATATCCAATTAACTGAGTATGAATTGCACGGTCAACTGACCTGGATAAAAAGCATTGATATAGCTATTGCTCCAGCGGGCTTTAGATTGTCGTTAATTTTTCCCATCAGCTTTGTGTAACATCCCTAAGTAAAAGAAGGTTAAATGCGTATATGCAATTTTYAATGCAATGATATATTGTCGTATGCGGTGCTTAAACATGAACTAAAGATAGTACTAGAGATTTTAAGATTACAATTAACATTGAGCACGTTGTAAAKATTATTGCAGCAGAACAATGGATATGACTGGCTATAAAGTCATCCATTACATGGGTAAAATGAAGGGCTATTAGGCTTGCAACTACTCCTGTGACAAGGTATTAAATTTCCTCAGAGATATAATTAAATCGATGAAAAGCAGCTCCTTTCTAGCATATARTTGATCTAGAACCGTTAAAGAGGGGTGACCAACCCAAGGAAAACAAGCAAACAAAAAGATCTGATAGATTTAAAGAKCTGCAAAAATTATATTTATGTCAGATGAACATGTCCTTAGTTTCTTTTTTTTATTTCTTCTTTTTTCAAATTACGCCATAAACTTCTATTTCTATGTTTTTGGTTGCTAGCCTGCATTCTGATCACTGGACCTGGATTCGCCTATTCTAGTATTCAACCAATCATAAGCAAGTATAGGTTTATTGGAAGTATTGATGTCATTCGCTGTATATTTGGATTAGAATTAACAATGTGTACTTGGTCGTACCTCTGTGTTGATATTTGCTGTGGTAATGGGTTTCCCACAGTCCKGTTTAACCGTCTTGCAGCAAGAGTCTGGTACAGCAGTATTGTTGTATTCGCTGTTTGTTTTCCAATCATTGTAGTCTTTTGATCCACAGCACTTCAGCTACTCAAATAAACAATACAATGGCTGTTGTTTTCTAGGTGTTATGATATGAGGTGTATTACAATACAAGTAAACTATTTCAAATCCTACGTTCTGATTGGCTACTCTACTCTGATTGGCTACTCTACTCTATTTTCAACATTCCTCCACTAGTGAAAAGAGCCACATTTCGTTTTCTCTTAGAAATATTGTGGGTCAAATCGAGGTCTAATTTTTTAAAAAGCCTATTCGACCTTCGGCCCATGGGCTATGAGATCGTAGTGCAATCGCCCTCGAGGTCTAATTTTCAATTATCCAAACGATTATGTTCAACCGTAAATTTGGTTCGGCAAACCAATTTCAGGGTATTAAAAATGATGTCAAGAGGCTCGTGTTGCATTTTAAGGCAAACAGATGATGGACGTTTCCAACTTGATTCAGCCTTGCTTAGCTGAATATGAAAGATGGCGGATTTTCGGATTCGAGAAATTCGCSCAAAGGATCACAGATGCCTGTAAAGTGTCACTCACGGAATTGTCAAAGAATAACTATTGATGGTATTTACCTTTTCCTGGACGTCATTTATGGGTTTGAGGTTTTTATTAGGATACTGCTTGATCTGTTCCTTCATATCTTTTTCAATCGCCTTTTCAATCTGCRATATATTATTGAGTAACAGCTAAATAGTCTGAGAATACCCTTGACAACTTGTTGTTTGCTGTTAAAGCTGTCCGCCCTGGGTAGAGTTGACGAAATTGACATACCACAATATTCATTCATTTACGAACTTCTTAAGGCWGACTTGCATATAAACCCTGAATTGTATAACATTCGCGCGGGCTACCTGTGTTTTTTTGTGGGATCCCTTTTTTTCAAGAGTGGGAGGGGACTTGGAAAAATTCACAATGGCCGACATTGAAAAGTAATTTCTCTGCAAATTCTGTACGTTTTACCCATTTTAAAGCACTAAAAGGTGGGAAAAACCACTCTAACGTACTTCCTTATAAGGTAAGATTACCATATGTCAGGATATGTGGTCAACAAAAAGTTTGGCAAACGAATGAACTTTTCTCCGCAACAATTGTTTGATATGAAAAATCTGGGTACTTTACAGGATACTAATCGTGAGTAAATCGCGCGTATTTCGATAGTTCTGGTCGGCATGCTCTCTTGTAATAGTTTTCATTAAACACAATACCCATGATTTCACCATTAACAGAATGTTACCTCATCGCGCTTTTGGTAGGTCAGAACCACTGCAGCAATTTCCAAAGCAAGCARAATCACCAAGAATGTAAGGTACTGCAAATATGATAAGGATAATTTATATAGAACGTGTATTAAGAGACCAGGAARACAGAAATAATGAACATATTAACAACAAGCCATAACACAAAAGATTGAAATCTGGAACAACCTCGTTCCAAGTCCCTTGTGATATGTGAAGGGATAAGGGCCTTGGGACGAGGTTGKAGCAGAAAGTTCTAGAAGAGAAAGAATCGAAATTTGAAAATAAATTGAAAATCAAAGAAATAAACGGCAACAAGCAAAAAAAAGGGGAAAAAATGCCAAAGAAAAWCTTTAAGAAACTTGATTAAGCAATCAATAAGTCAATATGTAACTCAGTCCACACTTAAAACTGACTTATGTCTTATATACATCTAATACTGTCAATGTCCCTTACCAGTGACAGCATGCATTTGTTTTCTTTCCACGAACCACAACAGCCAAAGAAGGCAATGACAGCAATAGCAACACCGACTGCAATCAGAATCCGTGGTCCAGTTATATAACTGACACTAGATAACTCAACATACGGACCAAGTGTCACTTCTCCCCAGACACCTATACCAATAAGTACACCACCAAGSAGCTGGGAACAAGTTAATCACATGCTCAATTTTATTATTTACTTGGGCTTCCTGTGGAAGCTCACGTCTAAAAATGCCAGTGGACTTCTCTCCGTCGTTGTCGTGAATATATTACGCTTCAAATTCGTAGCGCCTGCGTTGCAATTAAATGGTATGCAGTCTCCATGGGTTGTCAAACTAAATCAATCCGTGCTTTGTTTTTCATTTTTAACATGCATTGTTTTGTACGTCAGTGGTCTCGTGGCTTGATCGCGATATCTACTGCACCACTGCGACCAGCTGGTTTGTTTTATAGACCATGAATGTATATCATATGACAAAACCAAAGGTTGCAGTAGTAATACTTAGTTCAGTTCGTTAAAAAAATTAAGATGTAATAAAGATGTAATTTACTTATAAAGACTCTATCGTGAAAGTGGAATACTTACAGCCTAATGGCGGCAGCTGRTCATTGTCGCAGCTACAAGAAGCCCACGTATACGATCTATGATCGTCTATTTTGTATTTAAAAAAAGTCATTTACTTTTTATCATGCATCCTTTCAAAATAAGGATAACTGCGCTCCTTGAGGCATTCTATGTTTGATATTTATATAATTTATTCATTATTTTTTTTTATAATAAATACTTACGAAGAAGAAGAAGTTGAATATGAACAACAAGTATTTCAGACATTTTGTACCTCCGGAGACTCCCATTTTGGCTGGTTAATCTATTTACAAAATCAATTTACTAATCGATCATTGAGTCAATTACTTAAACATTATATTGTACTTAAGTAAAAAAGTATGAATGATAAAAAAATAAAAAAATAAATAAATAGATAGTAGATAAAATAGGAAAATAAAATTAAGAAATAAAAATGGTTCTATTTTCTATCCAACCAACCAAGCCATACAATGATCATGATACAATGACCATGAATAGAAAAAAAAATTAATATAATTAATCTAAAATGGAAAACCTCGCAACGCAAAGACAAAGCAACTAAACACAACAAGTTGATATAAAAAAATCCAGTTTGTTTTCTATGATAGCTCTGTCACGGAAAAGAGGAATAACAACAAAATAAGAACAGCAACAACAAAACCAACAAAACCAACAAGCAAAACAAAGCAAAAAGAGACACCAAGCATGCACTCACCGAATATGTTTTGATTCAATCTCAATATCTATACACCTTTTCTATAACGTTACACTTGATTAACAGTGATCAGGTCACGCGTGTAGTAGTATTAAGCGGAAAGAATGAATACATTACAGCAAAACAATTATTTAAAACATTGAAAATAAATCTAGTAAATACTGGTGTTAAAAAAGTTAGTGAGATTAGCATAATTATATTCTTTTTTCGTCAATCTTTGTTTCTGTCTTTGTTTTGAGTAAAATAAAAACAAATATTTTATGCATGACTCATTTCTCAAGACTATGCTAAATATGTTCACGATCGAGGTGCACTAAGTTATTAAATATTTTTCATTCTCTGTGTAAAAAGAATGTTTTCAATAAAAAACGAATAAGAGAGTGCAGTGAATATATAATATATTTTAAACAGATATTTTAAASAAGAATATGTCGTCAGTTTATCAATAGAAACGGAAAGAATAAAGTCTAAAGATAACTACACGGTTAATCAATACAAACTGACTGCACTTGTTGAACAGGATCAAGTACAGAGATGTTTTAGCGTTAGGCATACGATATGTCATTAAAAGACTTTGAACTAATAACAATTTGMTACTTATACGGAGATCTGGAAATTTCAGCTGTTTTGGTTAACTTCGTTTGTTCTTTATCTCTATTTTAATATTCACAAGCCTTATTACGATGTTAAAATTGTAAAAATGTGACTTGTTTTGTGAAAAACTCGAGGTATTATTATATAGTCTTTTATAAAAACAATACTCTGAAAGGATGATTAAAATCTTACCTCAAATGTATGTTATAATGCAATGTTTCTGTCTCTTGTTCGAGATGGTGAGCTCTATATCAAGCCTGTTCAGTCGTTTTCAATCAACGAACCATGATATTGTTATCATGGCATGCAAATATCTCGCACATTCGTTCGACATTTTGCGTGACATTGGCATATCATGTCATCATCATAATTATGTCTAATGTGGCTCTTCAGACTTTTCATACTTCGCGATAATTTACAATGTCAAGAGTTCGAATATAAAATGTCACACTGAGAAACAGAACACTATTCTTTCACTGTTACAGCATTATTTCTGAATGAAATAAGATTTTTGTGTTTTTGTTTTTCATTTTCATTTTTCTCTTGTATTTCTCACGTTGCTTCTTGTTTGAGATGCTTTCTCCAGGAGTACTTTATTCCCCACCTTGAATTTTTACTTCATTGAACTTTAATCAAACATATTTTACTTAGATGGTTATCAAATGATAATAAATTGAATTGAATATTAATAATAGATTAATCCAATCAGGACAAGGATTCTTCAAATTCCATCAAGTGACTTAAAGTAGCTTCAAGCCTTTGGAAACTTTACTCAGTTGTTTCCTACCTACACGTACCTAATTAAATTTCTTGGTGCCCTAATTCCGCAACATATAGCAAAAAATTCGCTTTTTTTTTTTTCTTCCGCTACAACTTCGGAGACAGCCAACGTTAAGACGGCATTGCCTAGCTACAAACCACAGGCATCCCAAAGTTTTTGTTGGCATGAATGTGAAAAAATAAAACATTTCTTATCCCGTTTTGTTTTGTTTTGTTTTTGTTTTTTTTTGTTTTTTTGAAGAAAATTAAAGCGCAAAAAAAACATCCACACTATCCGAAGTCTGATGTCGAGTGGTTGTCGTTAATTGTGAATTCCATTTTCAATGAAAATTTACTTTACAATAAAATTGGGGTCCCTATGTCGAAGGGGTGCAAAGATATTTCGCTACTTTGCGTATAGTAAAATGTTTGTTTTTAAAACTCAAGTGTTCTTCTTCAATTATGGTTGACATGCAAATAATCTAAATCATTAATCATGCAAACCTACTATTTGTAATCGTATATACAAACGATGAAACTATCATGACGTCACCAAATAAAGCGTCCATTTACAATGGTCACCATAGCAACAGACATATGTAAATTAGTTTTATTCGTCTTCTCCAATAATAAAACAACCACTACCTGCTGCCGATATATACCGTACGAACAGATTTGATGCTCTTCGAGCCAGCTTGATACACAGCAAAAATTGTCTTTTAAATAACTTATGGTCTGGGGAAGTTAATGTTGTTGTTCGATTATCTATAAAATGTGTGGAGTTAGATGTGCTAAATATCTGTTATTTGTATTCAATTTCTTCTTCTGGGTAAGTTGAAGCTAGTAGATTGTTTCGATTTTAACCGTGCTTGTTTACATTATCCAGGGCGTTTGTAGTAAGACTGTTGAGTTTTGAGAAGCTAGGTAAACTGTAGTACTGGCTAAAATTCAACTGTTTCGCCGCTTATGGCCTCGAGGTCAGTGTCGGTCTTRCTGCGTGATTATAGGCACCCGGCTTTTACAGTGAAATAATCGGTCTAGTACAAAGAGAACTTTCAAAGGCGCTAACAGTATGTTCTTACATATTTGTTCGTAATTTTGTCGCATGCTTGTTTGTTAGCTCATACCAGCACAATCCCCGTAGGTATAAAACATACSGTACGTTATCTCTACTACGTGCTGCTTACTGAGTTTGTTATCGATCGAGGATTTGTRGCTTGATGAACGATAAATGTATGAAAGTTAGTGAGCAATGGTAGCTAAGTATATCTGATTTCTTCATTAAGTTTTYACGCTATTTCCTTCTCCAACTCTTGTTTATTACCCTGTTTCGCTTTGTTATACCTAAACTTCCCTAGKAAATCTGAAAAATACCGAATTTATCACAGCATACGATGGCATAATTTTGACAGAGTACTTCAAACTAAACAATGAATGCAGGAAACAATGGCTTAAACCTCGTGTAACCAAATATAAACAATGTTTTGCGGTCTGTTKCGAAAGCATACAGCTTATATTTTCCAATTTCAGAACCAAGCTTTAGTATTGTTAAGTGTTTTTATCTTAGTTTATGAAGCAATTGCTTATATTTTGGACCACYTTCAGCAATTGAATCTAATCCACGATAATTTGTAATCCAATTGTTTAGATTGTTTCGGTATTATTAGGATGAGCTCATCAGGATAGCCAATTGAATAAAACAAYGTGTGATAGTGAAACAAATGCAAATACAAAGTATTCATAGTACAAGTCATTTATAATTTTAGAAGTACCCTATATGTGTCATAAATGAAGAAAAAAATATTGGTTTACAAGGGACTTGTTTCTTTTTTTATGATATACAGTTTATGTATTCTAATCTTCTGTGTATGTGTTTTTTTTTAGTATAGTTTAATTAATGAGTTTCAGCTACATTTAGAGTAAAAACACTAAAACTGTGCAATATAAATATGACTACATACTGCTAAATTATGCTAATTCTATTGTTTTCTATTGTTTAATTAAAACACTATTTTGTAGTAAATAGTGGAAAGTGTTGCACAATTTAGTGCTTGTACTCTACAATGTTCTACAATGTTTCCTAAATTCATTATTTTTGCCTCTATATTCTCCCAGTGTATTTTTTTATACACAGAAAAAAGATTATGCTTGTATCTTTACACTTCCACTTCCGTTCTTTGTCACAAACGCTGCTTGAGCCGGAAGCAAAATATAMCTAAAGTGTAGGGATATATAGCCGTATATGGCTCGGAAGCTTTTTGGTTGCCAGATCACCCTCGGTGGATAAATGACTTTGCTCGATTGGCGCTATGTCAACAGCTTTTCTTTGTTTAGCATTGATATTTATGTAGTCAAAGGCAGTGATTTTCAAAATTGTGCTTCTTTGTTGAAATCTCTCGCCCTGTCATGCGTTTTCGTCCAATCCAAAACGAGCAGCCTTGGAATGCAGTTGGAGTTTTCGTTTCAATCACCCGATTATTTATAGGTTAAAATTGTTAAATATTAAAATTGTCATAAATGCATGATTCGTTGCTGTTGTTGCTTCTTTGTTGAAATCTCTCACACCGTCGCGCGTTGTCGTCCAATCCAAAACGAGCAGCCAAAGACAATTAAAAAAATATAAATGAAAAAAAAAAAAAAATAAAAAAATCGGCCAACGCACGCAAAATTAGCTCCCATAATCTTGTACAACAACAGAAATGGCATTAAAAAACAAACAAACAAACAAACAAAACAAAAAACAAAAAAGAAAACGAAAGGAACGCAGCTCGTCAAACCCGTGGGTATTTTGCCCAGCACGATAGATTTAGAGTACCATGTGACCGTTTCATGCTGTCAAATATATATATTTTTGTTTGTGCCGAAGCTAGACCACAATACACCATGCATTTCAGAGAAGGCCTATGCTACTGCACTTAAAGTTTAATCAACAACACTGTGCATGTGCTCGGAACATTTAAAGGGACATGGTCCACCAGCATCCCTTTCGAGCTTTTGCTCATGTCTAAAAATAAAAGTATACATCGTAATATAAGCAAAAACCTGCTCTTTATTATCCCTTTATAAAATGGAGGTATTGTAAGATTCGACCGATGGATGAAAACGAATTGAGAATGAATATTCGAAGTCACTTCGTTTTCCATATATGAAAAATCTAAAACGCGACCGCATTGAATGCTGGTAGGCAATGTCCCGTTAAGCAATTCAATACTCCTTATACTTATTTGATTTTCCTCTATTATATATGTTAAGTTGTCAGGATTGGCTGTTCTTGGAATTGGCATATGGACAAAGATCGATGCAGGGCAGTTTGATTCTTTTCTTGGATATGCTGGGTATTCAATATCAGCTTATATATTAATAGCCGCTGGTGCATTCGTTGCATTTGTTGGTTTCGTTGGCTGTTGTGGAGCCATTAGGGAAAACCGATGCATGCTGGGAACGGTAAGTCAAGGCGTTTTTCATGTTGTTCTTGTTATTTTGTTTTATTTTTTATTTTTTCGCTGTCCTGATTGTAGTGTTTAAGGTTATTTTACCTGGGGTACAATAAATATTACTTTTTTAAGGCATGTCCTTAGTATACTCAAGTGTACATAAATCTTATTCAATTCTCTTTCAAAGCCTTCTTCGAGGAATAACATCATCACTGGAAAAAATCGCGCACCATAAAGGTTGTAAATTTGATGGAAATATGATGTAAGTGTCCAAAATGATGTAAGTTTGATGAAAATCACTTAAATCAAATTTACATCATTTTGGACACTTACATCATATATGCATCAAATTTACAACCTTTATGGTGCGCGATTTTTTCCAGTGCATGTTATTGGAAAACAAAATAAAGTGTGGAGTGCGTGCAGGATTAGTACAGACACGCAAAGCCAACGCAAGTTTTATAGAGTGTTTTAACTGCACATTTCGGAGGCCATGTCACTTTCATTTTCCTCGTCATTGAATTCAATATTCGAACCTTTATTCTCGCTGTGTAAACTTTCGTTCGCCTACGATTCGCCTTGTTGATCCTTGTCAATTCCAATGATGCGCACTTCCCTCAGTATAGTGTAATGTTCATGTTATTATCAACATATTTAAATCATTGTGGTCTATTTTAGTTCTTTGTTTTACTGCTGCTGATCTTTTGCGCCGAAGCTGTTGCTGGAATCCTTGGATTTATCTACCGTGACAGGGTGAGATTCCGTGACTAGATCCACTTTTGAAAAAGCCATTTTGGAACGTGGAAAGTGAAATATTTGAGTAATGAACAACGAGACTATCATTGCGATTTATTAAAATCTTTATACCAAACACCTAGTCTTGGCTAGTCTAATTAATAGTGAATTGAAAACGTATATAATTTAGGAAACCTCTTTCCGCCATTTTTGTTTATCCATCAAAACAATTAGAACAGATAATTTTTATTGATTTTCTAAATATATAAAGATGGGAAACGATGTCAAAACTGAGCTGTCAAAGACCCCTGCAATTCAGTAATCTGCTTTTAGGAATAAAATGGATTCTCACCATTCCTCTTTTTCCTCTTTTTCTTCAAGATCCATCAAAAATGTTTATTCACTTACTATGTTTGCCTATTTTTGACATTTTTAGGTTGAAACAGAGATAAAGAAGGAACTCGATGATCAAATACTCAATAAATATGGTGTTGCTAATGATGTGGATCTTAATAACAACATCGATGTCCTCCAACAAAGAGTAGGTTTTTTGAATAAGAACTGCACTGCTTTGATGTTTATTAATTTTTTAGTGCATACCTCAATCAACATTTAATTAAGTGCAGTTCTGGATCCAAGGATCATCATTAGTGGTGGACATTAGTGGCAACCCTTACACCATTTAAGGATATCCCCTTTTTTGTGCCTCCTTTGTGATCTTTCGATCCTTCGTTCCTTCGTTCGTTCGTTCGTTCGTTCGTTCGTTCGTTCGTTCGTTCGTTCCTTCCTTCGTTCATTCCTTCGTTCCTTCCTTCGTTCGTTCGTTCGTTCGTTCCTTCCTTCCTTCCTTCCTTCCTTAATTCCTTCCTTCCTCCTTTGTTTTAATCATTTTGAGGAATACCCCCGTATCTTTGCCGACTTGCATCCTTCCTGAAAATATGCGGTATCAGGCTTTTTTCACCTTTATCTTGTTTGGGTAGCTCTTTACGGTTTAAGAAGATCTTATCCGATTGGTTTACTAGCAATTTGTAGTGAATAAAAGAAACCCATAGAACTTAAGAGCAAGGAAACAAAGAGCATTGCTTTATCTCCAATCACAAGAAAACTCACTAATTCGTGAGGGATAAGTGCCTTGTTTCTATGCTATTTTGGCAGTAGCCTGCGTAGCGGCCCTTAGGGGATTGGGGAGGGCCGAGCGGAGAATGGGGCCGGTCCTCCCCAATCCCCTTAGGGCCAGCTACGCAGTCTATTTTGGCAGCTGATTGGCTGTTCTCCGCACCTTTATACTTCCTTCCGACATTTCTGAGTTAATTTTGGTCTCTGTCTGGTTTAGCTAAAATGCTGTGGYGGAACCAATAAGTATTATGATTGGATGAATAGCAAATGGCACAAAGAACAAAACCCAACAAAGAGAGTACCGCTGAGCTGCTGCATCGAAGGGGCAAATACGACTTCTTGTTATAGAGATGCTACATATAAAGAGGTTCATCCCAAGGTATATTATTAGAATAGAATAAGATTATTTAGGACAGGTATACTTTTGATACAATAAGCACAAATTGCTAAAGTGACATCCMTAAAATAGTYTTTGTAAAGACAAAAGGCAATGATCTTTAATTATTAATTAATGATTAATCAATTTGATGAAATAATATGATTACAACTAAAAGMTTCGTGCCTGTTCTGAATTTATGGAATTAAGCTAAGCTTAATTTGTTGAGAGTGCGATAAAATCTTTGCGCATGATATTCAACAAATCAGGATGATTATTGTAAACCTTAGCCTCCTACGCAGACACTCCTATTCATAGAAACGTCGGTATTGGAGGCTACTTAAACCTCTTGTCATTGGGTGTCATTGATATTGTTTACTTTTGGTCAATTCAAGGGCTGTTACACAGAGCTCAAGAGCTACGTAGACAAACACATGATATTGATAGGCGCAATAGCTGCTGGGATATCTGTTATACAGGTAAGAACATAATCTTCACTTGCATCCAAGAACATTTGCGATCATATTATTATGGGCGATTGGGACTGAATACTTTGCATTAATRACGAAACTGGAAACGTACTGTTTGCAGTATTTTTTCGGGAAGTGCACTTATCTATTATAACACCAGGGAACCTCTAGCGCGAAAAAGTTATATCTTTCACAAGTAAAAATATTGCGTTACCATGGATACTCCGTACAATGTTGTCCTTTTTTGTCTTGTCGATATAAATTTGACTTTATATAATGAGCAGAGCATTACATGGTCGCTTGGAGATACTCATTCTSGAGATATCAATAAAATATCTGCGCGCGACCATGTAATATCCTCTATATATTATTTTTTTTTGCTGTTTTCTTTAGCTATTGGGAATGGTGTTTGCATGTTGCCTCTACTGCTCTGTTGACGACTAGCGCATATTGACAGAATTTGACTTGATGTCTTATCTTATACAATGGAGACAAAGGAGCCGACATGAGCTTCGTAGTTGATGAAATGACGGGATATCAGGGATAGTTGCTTATCAGCAGCAAGTACATCTTGATAAATGCAAGTGGAAGTTTAGAGCGATGACGCAGTCAATTTTAGACTAATAAGAAATATATCAATAATAATAATAATAAGTAATAAGTAAATTGAAAAGTACTTTCTAGCTTCTTAATTAGTCAAAATATACTATTTACTTCTATTTATCCCTATTAATTTACTGAATTTTCATTATTATGAAGTTGCTCCGTTTTGATATTAAACATAACTCTGAACAGGGCTCTAACTGAATAAACCCTTTAAAAAATCCCTTTTACACTGTGAAAGCCTCATGGAATACATTATTTTCTTAAGTAACATCCCTTGACAATGCAAGAGATCTGTAAGTATAGAAGACACTGAAAATAGTTTGAAATTTCACAGGTTTAGTCTCAATTTTAGAATAAATTTCACACAGACAGGAAGCTTACACGGTGTAAAAGAGATCGCAAAACTGTTGCGCATGACGTTTTTAGATTTTTATTCCCTTCATGCTTGCCACCTAGTTATGTTGATCTTCTATAACTTTCATGTTTACCAGATCGTTCCTGCTAATAGAGTCTCTTTCCTTGTCGGGAACCTCAAGAGATGCTGCTAGCAGGAAACCCCTCGTCACATTGGGACGACAATTTTACCATTTGCCTGATCTTTCCTGCTAACAGGGTCTATTTCCTCGTCGGGAACCACAAGAGACACTGCTAGCAGGAAACCTCTCGTCACAGTGGGGCGACCACTTTACCAGATTGTATCACNTGTGTTTGGGGTGTGGGGGATGTCAATATTCGTGTGCGCAGCAAATGTTTCATCTATTACATGATATACACATTAAAAAAAATCAAGGAAGTCTGAGATAGCAGAACTAGCAAAGAAATGAAAGACAGATAAGAAAAAGGGTAACGCTCAAATATGCGCGTGCGAATGAAACGACGAGAAAAGCAGAATACAAAACACAAAACAAATAAACAAAAAAGAAAATACAAAAAAAAGACAAACAAAAAAAAAAAGAAAAAAAAAAACAAGGGAAAACAGGGTTAACCATCTATCAAATGGTCTATTTTGAAAGCAACAAATTATAATAAAATTATTCGGAAGCTAGCGAGAAAGCTCATTGTGAATGTGAGTGAGTGCAGGCATGAATATCTTCCCTTTCTCCCTCAGATGGCATTTATTGGTGATGAATGATGGTACGAAATGCGATGGATAAATGTGCATAAGGAATTGTGATCGTAGCAGTGATTATTGACAATTAATGGATCACAAGAAAAAATCGGGCTTCAACGGRAATCAAACTCATGACCTCTACGATGTCGGTGCAGTGCTCTGCCAATTGAGCATTAAAATGTMCGCTCGCCAACACAGTTGGTTTCATACCTCAGTTGGTAGAGCACTGCACCGCCATCGYAAAGGTCATATGGTTTCGATTCGATCTTGTTGAATGCCAAATTTCTTCGTGCGATCCAATTAATAATCATTTAGATTATTATAATTGACAGTGCGACGATCATTATTTAACAAATAAATAAGGCTCACCCGTGGTTTATACTCCCATAAACCACACTTTTTTGGCCAATCAGAGCGCGCGTTAGAAATCATATATATAATAATATACCTTACATAACTTTGGTGATGAAAACAAAAGCTCAAAACCATATCTTAATAAAAGAAATTCCAGAGATCGGCAGCAGAAAAAGGCGTTAAATTTATTGATCATTGTTACTTTTCTTCAAGCCACAAAATCAGTACTCAGCAATAGGTAGATTTCAACCTTCCATCGTGACATAAAWAAAGACTGAGGGAAGCGAGGGTAGTGCAAGTTAAAATAAGTTGTGAAAATCACCATACTCGCCCTTTAACAGTCAAAATACATCCTGGACGTATATTGTTATCAAACGCTTTGGCTGGTGGTCCAGMATGTGACGACGGATTCAAGGTATTTGCAGCCAAAAAGGTTTTCCATCAAACAGAGAGGGGCATGTTACATGTCATTARATTGCCATAAGTCTATACATAGAAAATCTTGGGGGTAAAACTTCATCACTGCTCTCAATCACGTACCAAATACCAGTCTTTTTAATGACCATTTAATGTTCACATTTAGAGGTTATCACTGTCGTACTTCAAAGTGCAGTCTCTATCAACAGTTATCTCGATACATGAATTYCATCACCCTCACACACCCATATAATTATTACCACACATGAACAAGCAGTTTCTCTGCAGCGACGACTCGACTTTTGCCTAAGTCCAGCCGTGCGTTGGCCTCGTCTTTCACCGCAAGACTCTAATGGGGCGTGTGTCACTTTAGTTGTCAATGAGGAGACTTCTTCATAATACAAGTTATAATTGCCTYAAACAAATTTCTTTGTGTTGTGTGCGCATCTTGATTAGACCTCATCRTGCGATCAAATTCCAGTTTATTAACTATTTTGTTAAACTCAAAAAAGACTCGTTAATGTAAAAGTAATTTTATGTTTAATTTTATCGTATTTATTAGACGTTTCTTGAACTAGTCTSAGCAAAATCAGTTAAATATGAGATGTCTGAAGCTTCTTGCTAACCATCCACTCTGATTAATTTTCAAGGTGATTTCGCTGGAGTTGATCTCATTTCCAATACTGCCAGTCAATGCTCCAATTTCGAGTTCTGGTTTGCTCTGTGYTAGCCTCAGAACCAAGTAACATATTCTTTTGTTTCATTGATAGCTCGATAAAACGCATGGAATTTGTGAAGAAAGAACATACATTTGATTTGAAATCTCACACTTCCACGCTCACAATAAGGAATATTTTGCGAACAAATGAGGCTAACACAGAGCATTGGAGAATTCGAGACTGGAGTATTAAAATAWACCGATATATAATGTAGAAATATTTGGACGGAGCGGATCTTAAACTGGTTAGTCGATCACCTTTTATAACGTTAAGCATCATACCTAAACTACMATTAATATTTAAGCCTTTGCTAAACTTGCTCTRGAATTGGTCATTTCCTAAACAAGAAGAGGGATGGGATCGGGACTAGTTTTTATTATTTTCAGTGTAATAAAAAAAAATCATTCTGGTTTTTCATATACAAACTGCGCCAAAAAATTACCCAACTTTGGTGTGATCTATCTAGATTGTGTTATTAATTTTAGAAACAAGTCGATCCCCAGCCTCATCCACCGTTTCTGAATTAGATGGATTTCTATATTTAAAATATTTTGATATTTTTGTGGATTCTGACAGTGTAATAAAGTTGTGTAGGCACAGAACACAATCACCTTTCATTTGACCTAATCATCAATGCAGGCGACATTATTGCATGTATTTCTTTTTTCARGAGACTATGGGGTGTCCATGATGAACCTCCCTCACAGACCGTTTATTTCTGGCGAACTCAWTATTTTTTTTATTGTCTACAAACATTTTTGAGCTCGCCAAAGAAACAGTCCACGAAGCTGGCTACTCCAGGATGCACATAATAAATGGAAATAAGATGATTTATAAGCGCCCGGCAGCTTTGACGGAAATACGAATTTAAAATTTTCAAATTGTGAGAAACGTTACATCTGAAAGCTAAATAATTTGAATGCAGTGAATCAAATCAGTTTGAAGCATGTTTTTAAGTGTTACTTTCRTACAGTTCTATTTAGCAAAATTTCCTTTGTCTCAGCTATGCTCATCAAATGGCGCGCGCAGATGACGGCCATATTGATAATAAGCCCTTAACTGTCTATTATACCTAGCTAGCTCAAACACGAATAGGCTATTTGAGGTTTTCATAAAAGCATAAAATGACAAAGGTTATGAGGCAAGACACACCACAGAATGGATCAGATATGAAATTCCAATGACTACCCCAATTACGACGTCAWGTCTACGATGATCTGTGAGCTGCAGTATGCAATGGAATCAAGATACCCGTACATRCTGATGTCAAATTCTTACATTTCAGACTGCGTAACAAACACAAATGAGAATTCGTACTATGACAGGTCTTTGGGTACACTGTWAAACGTGCTTGGCTAAATTACAGCCAATACAGATGTTTGCAGGCAAACGATATTGGCTGTTTTAACCACTATTTGGTCAAAACCAGTCAATTAATTCCAATTAGTAAGGTAACCATGGAAATCATTTTTCATGTGTCTAGCAGATATGTTTCATACTCTACCACAAAAYATATTCACCGCACATAATAGCTATTGACCACATAAGAGGCATTCTAACAAAATTGTTTTCGTACATCAATACCATGATTCCTATCGAAAATAGAACATGACGTCATAAGAGGAAGTGAAATTCCATGTCTGTTCATTTTCAGGTAATACATTTTTGCATGAGAGACTAAGCCAAAATTGGACATAACGGAGAAAAGTGAAGAGGGTGGTTTTCATTAATCCGAGAAGCAAAGTGTAATAGTCTAAGTGTAATCATATCAAAGTGTGAAAATACAAATAAGGATAAAGCGCCCAAGAGTAGCAAAATGTAGTACGCTTAAATGGATTTGAAGGGTTAACGAAAGCCAATCTAAGAGCAAATGAGTTATGTTCGTTATGAAAACCTCTTCCGATCAGTACWTTAAAATTCTAAGATTTGTACTATTAAATTATTAAATATATAGGCATATATATCTGCAATCATAATGTCAATTATCAATAATATGAATTGTTAATACAATTATTAATAATTTGAATTATTAATACCTATGAAGTGCAACTCTTTCAAACGTCTGGATGATAAAATCTTTCCCATCACCAGTGTCATACGAAATCAACCCTTCCCACCCCTCCCTTAACACAACATCAATCTTACTTCTTTGATTACCCCCTTACATTGAAGAGAGGCTAAAGGGTGGAAAATGATTTTRATTTAATTATAAACAATGAAATTCCGAAAGCATAGTTTATATGCGTTTTCTTAACATGGATCATTTAATTCTAGGTTTGCATTCATATTCAAAAGAGTGACAGGTCTAACAAAAGGTATAACCAGTCAGACTAGAAGTCTTTCTTTGCCATGCACTATCATTGTCTTCCTTTCTTTGTTCGACAGATTCCTCTTAAACAAATTGCTGCAAACCTAGAATTTATACTCATTAAAAATATACCCCTGAGCCTCACTTTCATGTCTTTATCGAAATAAACTCTATTAATATAAACATAATTTGAGTTAGTAAAGCTAAGTTTATATCTTTTCGTAACCAATTGATCTGAACAGGCATAATGAGAAGATCATCCCAAGAATCTGCAAAAAATATGCAATCAACGTTAGAAATAAAAATAGAACAAGAGTAAAACTAAACTTTTTAAGATGAAAGGAAATAAGTTGTTGCTTTCAAAAAAGATGCAGAAGCAGTAGTCAATATTTCAAGGTATARCAATTTCCAAAGTTACCTGTTAAGAGACTATTAATTCCTGAACACTAGAAAAAATCGCGCGCCATAAAGGTTGTAAATTTGATGGAAATATGATTTAAGTGTCCAAAATGATGGAAATTTGATGGAAATTTGGTGGAATGGCAAATTACATTGTATGTGAATGACTTAAATTGATTTTTCGAATACACTCAATCTTAATACAAAATGAATAATTGTAATTTAGTTGATAAAAAAAMTYAGTGTCAGTGAAAAAAACCGTCRTAATTATTGCTACTAAGAAACTYAAGCCATTCCAAAACAAAAACAAATGTGCATGTACCTGGATAATAGCAATGCCGACACCAATACCACCCAGTGTTTTCATGTGACCTTTGATGAAGTCTTTTAATGCTTGAGCACATCCCTGATAGCAGAAAAGTTGATCATCAAAATTACAAATGAATAGTCCGCCACTCGGTCAGTCGGTTGCAGCCCTACAACACTATCCCCCTCCCCTCCCCTAAACCTAACCCTAACCGCCTCCCCCCACCCACTCCCTCCTCTCCCCCCACCAAGAATAGCATTATTGCTTTTTTTTAATTTTGTTGTGATTAGTCGTTGTCATTTTATTTCTTGGACACTTGGTATTGTACAATGCTGTTCCTTTTTTTTCTTTTTTAAAACTAATATTTCTCGTGATATGGAGGCCAGTGCTGATGTCAGTTACCTCTGTGTTGTAGTCTCCTGATCCAATGGCACCTTTATTGCATCCAGATTTGGGCGTTTTACAACACGATTGAGGGACTGTTCCATTATTGCTTTTCTTTTTCCAGTCAGATGTATCCCAGTCCTTTGGTCCTTTTGCCCCGCAACATTTCAACTTGTCCATAAAGATACATTATGAACATTAGTACATATACAATCATGTATTCAAGTGATATACGGTCCAAATAGTTATACGACCTATGCTATACTCGTGGGATTTTTCTGTGCTGTGCAATAGTCAGCGTCTTTGTTGCTTGAAATGAATGAGTGCACAGCTGTGGCGATTGCTTGACAACAAACAATGCTGACAAGCAACAGTAAACAATGTAATGAGATGAGAGAAACGCCTTCAAAAGGATTAAAAGTCGAAAGAGGCAGGACCTTTATAAGTACATTGACTAAAAACTCAAGAAATATAGAGGTATGCATGCAAAGTATATACCGTACCATTTCCTGGGCATGATCGACAGCCTTGGTGATCTTATCGCTTTTTCCATATTCTACGGCCACAGAAGTGTTCATTGCCTTCTCAACGGTAGAGATAACCTAATGACAGCATTTATAAATATGAGGTTAAATGGAAAATTTTTCAGAATATAATTAATGAACAGGTCTTTGCTCAACCTTAATCGACTTGGACAATGCTTATAACAAATTTTAAGTTCAATTGGACAGACATTACACAAACATATTTACGAAAGTTCAAATTTCCCTTCACGGACGATTGTTTCCATCCATCTGTTCTAGGAGTAAATACTAAACTCTTCCATATAGAGCATAAACGAATTATATAGATGAAGCTTTGCTTACATAACGATGTATTTTAAAGGGACATGGTCCACCAGCATCCCTTTCGAGCTTTTGTTTATGTTTGAAAATAGAAATACATCGTAATATAAGCAAAAACTTACTCTTTATTATTCCTTTATCCTATATGAATGAAGATGCTTTAAGATTCGACCATTAAACCGATGGATGGAAACGGATTGCAAATGGATATTTGAAGTCACCTCATTTTCCATATATGAAAAATCTAAAACACGACCGCATTGCATGCTAGTGGACCATGTCCCTTTAATGTTCTCATAATATATTACTAGGATTATCAAAAGCATTATATGTACTTTCGCTCTCTCTGCAGGCGTTTATTATCTTCTTTTTCGCTCTTCTTTTTACTTTTGGGATTTCTGTCTTCCTCAATATCCCAAAGGGATCCCAAAGACATAAGGAAATGTTGCCTGCAGAACATCCCAGGTGTTTTTATCATACTCTCCCGCTCTTTACCTTATCACGCTTGACGTATGCAAGAATTCCAGCCGCGATCTCCAGGATGAAAATCATTAACAACAGGAAGAAATACTAAAATTGAAATAAATACGAGATCATTTTAAAGTTAAAATCGGTCATTTTGCTTTTATTAAAATTTAACATGTCTAAATTGGCTGCTAGGAAACAAATTCGTGTAAAAATAGGGTATKTGTGCATAGGYAYGCGGACTCCCAATGTATATTGTTTGGAACCTTTCGTCTAGATAATGTATTTGTTAACAACGGGTTGTTCTAAGAGAGAGATGAATGAATATTGACATCAATATCAAATCGGAAATCCATCAATCCTCATTGGAAGTTTATCTTTAAGTTTGCTGTTTGTTACCGGGAATGGACTATACGCCATACGCATCCCGAATGCCGTAGACCGTAGCTACAGGTTTGTCTAGATATACTCCTTCGATTCAGGCAAAACAAGAAGAAGAAGAAGAAGAAGAAGAAGAAGAAGAAGAAGAAGAAGAAGAAGAAGAAGAAGAAGAAGGAGAAGAAGGAGAAGAAGAAGAAGAAGGAGAAGAATGCAAAATTAGAATGCAAACTAAGCCAACAAAACAGCAGCAACAACAAGAAATGCATCGATCAGTGACAACATATGAAAACAACAACAACAACAACAACAACAACAACAATAACCACAACAACAAGCAACTTATCAAAATAAACATGAGATAAATAAAAACGGAAGTAGGGGAATGTCATTACCAGTAACAAAAAGCATTTGTTTTCCTTGATAGCTCCACAGCATCCAACAAATCCAATGAACATTACCAAAGCACCGGCAGCTATCATGATGTTCGCAGCGGCCTGGAAACCAGATTCGCCCATCAAGGACGCGTACTCTGAGGCACTTACTCGTGTCCATATCCCTACGGACATCACCGTTATTCCCGCGATCTGAAAGTACATAGCAAAATTAATGCATTCAAATAATTAGTAAGAAAAAAAAAACAAAGAAAGAAACAATTTGCGAAGAACATAGTGAGGCATATCGTGTGTGCACTCTTATTAAGTTTTGTAATAAGAAAATTTCAAACTAAGGAATATTAGGGAGCCACACAGAGTGTGTGCCCTCTCAATRATTTGTAAATAGCTTACTWGCGTACTGATTGTATGTGYGCAATAATGTATTAAAAAARAAAARA